TGGGGAAACAGACAGCTGAACAAACTGAGCAATTCACAACAGATGCAGAAGGCCACCTCCCTAGGAATAACATGTAGGCCTCAGTTGTATTTCAGCTCCAGACCCAGAAAAGCAGCAAAACCAGGTGGGTGACATCAGGACCAGCTGCAATGACTATCAACCCCCTGCCCTGACACTGACCAATCAGTGAAAACCACGGCCCTGGGGGCGCACACCTAGGAAATTGATGAATAATCTGCTAAAACCCTCCCCTGAATTCCAGCCTGTGAGAAAGAGAAAGCCTCAAGACAAAGGACTCAGCTGTGCTCTCCCTCTAGGGAGCAGCCCCCCATTCCCTTTCCCCTCTTCCTCAACCACTTCTTCCCCCAGGGCATGCATCTCCTAGACCAGCCGTGGGCGAACTACTGGCCGGCAGGCAGGATCCGGCCAGTTTGAAATGAATAAAACTAAAAAAAAAAAAAACAAAAGACCGTACCCTTTTATGTAATGATGTTTACTTTGAATTTATATTAGTTCACACAAACACGCCATCCATGCTTTTGTTCCGGCCCTCTGGTCCAGTTTAAGAACCCATTGTGGCCCTCGAGTCAAAAAGTTTGCCCACCCCTGTCCTAGACGCTAAGGGACCCCAGGAGACTGCAACCTGGGGAGCAATGGGCAGCAGCAGCTCATCCCAGGCTCACCCCTGAGCCTGTCCCCAAGGCCCCCTTTTCTCTGACTTCCCAGAGAGCTAGGGCAGCCCAGCCTAGGCTCTCCTGTTGCTTCTCCTATACTAAGCCCTTTCTTGTTTTACTGTCCCCAGATTGAATAAACGTTCCCTCATAGTCACCTGGACTCCTGCTAGGAAATGTTTGCTGCACAAAGTCAAAAACCCAAACACTATGGGCAGGCCCTAAGCAGACCCGCCAAGGGCCAGGTCCACCTTTCTGGTAACAATCCCAGCAGAGCTCTGGGCCCCAGTGGCACCATGGACTTGTCCCGCCTTGAGGCAGGGGCCACATGCATGTACCCATGAGTCACTGTGGGCCCCCTCCCGCCCCCACTCCCAGGCAGTGGAGGGCAGCTTCCCAACACCCCTGGCTGAAGGCCTGCAGCTGCAAGGCCTCAGTAGCCAGCATTCCCAGCAGCTGGGACCGTGTGCTCCCGGCTGCTATAGGAGGCTCATGGAATGTAATTGTCTGGGCTGCCAGCAATAGTAGCTAAAAGCTTTCTCTATGGCATCTAAAAACTGATGCCAGGGAAGCCTCAGTTTGTGTCTCGCTACCCCAGACAGGTCAAAGTCACCAAAGGCAGTGTCCTGCCTGCTCCAGCTCAGCAGTGCCAGGCTGCAGATGGGCTCACAGAAAGAAGGGGCAGACCACACGTGACTTCCTCATCCGCAGTCCCATCCCCCAGGGTGAGGTCACCCATTCTCCCAAAGAAAGCTTCCAACATCTGGACCCTCGTCTGTGTTTCTTTCAGCTTGGTCCCAGGACATCAACGTGTCCTCATTCTCCACCTGAGACCTAGACAGGGAGGCCCTGGCCTCGTGCTTCTTTGCTCTGTATCCCCAGCTCGTCCCCTCACACCTGCAGGCCGTGCTGCACCAGGTGGCCGACAGGTTTGCCCACATCCACTGATGACCGAGCTGGACAGCAGACAGAGAGAGCTCCACACTTCTGTTCGGCCACGCATAAATCCCGTGCGCTCCCCCTTCTGTGAAAGTAACACCAGCTGAGAAGTTACCGAAACCGATGGGGAAAGCTGCAGGGAGAACCGCTGCTCCTCTAGAGCTTCCTCTCAGCTTCTCTGCCGGCTGAGCTGTCAGCACAGTTCTCCCCACACCACGTGGACACCATCATACCATGCTGCACCCCCCCACCCCCCCAAGACATGGTGCCCTCACCTTGATTAATCGCAGGGATGTCCTTGTCCCAAGACGTCTGGGTCCCCTCAGGGGTGAGGCCTTCTGAGAAGCTGCTCCCACAGACTCCTGGACAGCTGGAGGCTGGGGGCGCTCCTAGGATCAAACCTGGCCCAGACATACATGGGCCCAAGCGCCCCCATGTGGGAGAGGATGTCAGGACGTGGGCGGGGTGGGTGACCCTCCCTTTACTAAGAGAGGCCCCAGCAAGCAGTCCTGGGAGCCTGCCTGGCCGCCCCTCTCAGCCCCCACCGGTGCTGGGGCCTAGACAGCTCTGAGGAAGGGGCTCCCCGAGCGGGACCAACACCGGCTGCAAAAGGCAGCCCTTGCTCAAGAGTATGTGGGTGTCTGAGGTGGGGGGACAGCAGGAAGGAGGGACAGGGACAAAACTCAGGCTGCAACGCTGGTGGCAGGGTGTGGGCCAGCCTCAGACCCTGCCCTACAACTCCCTTCTCAGCCCAGCAAGCCTAGCCAAGCCAGCAGAATGAGGCCTCTGGAGTGCCACACGGCCAGGCCGTCCTCTGCTGTGGGCCCTTCAGGAGGCCTCCCGGTGGGGGCCTGGAGTTGACTCTAGGAATGTCCCTGGAGAGCCCATTCTTGAGCCATTCAAACCAACCCAGGGCCTGGCAGGCTCCAGCCACACCCTCTGGTCTCTGCCCAGCACTCTGCAAACTGAAGCCCAAGCAGGAGGGTGAGGCAGCCGCTTACCTGGCAAAGAGAGCAGACCCAGCATCCAAGGCCAGAAGCCCCCCATGCTTGTGCTGTCTGTGGTGGGCCCACTGACCCCTCAGCAAGCTGGAGCTGGCACCCAGGCCGGAAGAGGCAACCTAGTTACAGCCTGGTCACCCGCCCTTAAATAGCAGCTTCTCCCGCCCCCACCTTCAGCTTCTCCCCAATCAATTCCACCTGCAGCCCCTCCCCAACCAACTTCACCTGCAGCCCCTCCCACGCCTGCTTGAGCTCCCCACCTCAAGCCTCCGGACCCTGGTCGGATCCTTCCGCCCTGGCTAAATGGACCAGAGGCCAGGTATAAGGCACCCTGGGGAGAGGCGTCCCACTGGGGGCTGTGCCTCTGCTGAGATCCCCTCCCACCACCAGGGGGCAGAGAATCATCACAGAAAGACGCTGAGACCCAGCGCAGGAGGGACCTCACCCTCCCACCCAGGGAAACCCTGTTCCTGCCCCTGCCTGTGCTCAGATGTGGGAAAGCTGCCTGAGACCCAGAGGCTCCCTCGGTCTATCTGTGGAAGGAGGGAAAGTTCACTACATCCTCATCAGCTTTTATTTTCGCATGCATACAAACAGGGGACAATCACAAGTACAGGAATCAGGGAGAGTTCACACGCTGAATGCCTGCAGTAGCCTGCCATGGGGAAGACGGAGCCTCTTGGATACCTAGATCCTCACATAGACGATACCCTGTCATCCCCACTGATGCCATCCCCTGTCATTCCAAAGTTAAGCTGCTTGTCCCGATTCCTGCACCTCTGAACCCGCTTAGCCTTTCCAGAGGCCCATCCTGTGTGGCCATCCCTGGATTTAAGTCCTGCAGGCAGAGGACGTGGGGACTCCAGTGAAGGGAAGCCACAGAACTAAAGACACCAGGTATTGTCCTCAAGCACCTCTCAGCATCCTGCTGTGCCTGGAACCCAGGTCTCTCATAAGAATGGGATTGGATCACAGGGAGAAGGGATGCGGACAGAGGTCCCCGCTGCCAGGCGGGATATCAGCACATGGAGCTGACCCTTCAGATGAGAGTGCTCGCGAGGTCAAACCATCCCAATGACCAGTCATCACCCTGCTTGGGCAGAGAAACAGGTTCTTAGTTCAGAAATGCAGTTCGTCTCGAGGACGTTATGTTGAGTGAAATAAGTCAGTCACAACGGGACAAAACTGTGTGATCCCACCGGCAGGATGTGTACAGATTCCTGGACAGAGGTAGGATAGTGGTTGCCAGGGGCTGGGAGGGCAATGGGAGTTGTTGTTTAAGTGGGAACAGAGTTTCAGTTTTGTAAGAAGGAAAAGTTCTGGAGATCCACTGCACAACAATGCAAATACGCTTAATACTACTGAACAGCACACTTAGAATAGCCCAGGTGGCCCTGGCTGGGTGGCTCAGTGGCTAGAGGGTAGGCCCAAGCACCAGAGGGTCGCAAGTTCAATTCCCAGTTAAGGGCACATACCTGGGTTGCAGATTTGATCTCTAGCCCAGGTTGGTGTGCAGGCAGAAGGCAACCAATTGATCTGTCTCTCTCATTGGTGTTCTCTCTCTCTCTCTCTCTCCCTCCCTCCCTCCCCCCTCTTCCCTTCCCTCCCTCCCTTCCACTCTCTCTAAAAATCAATGGAAAAAATATCCTTGAGTGAGGATTAACAACAACAAAATATAGTAAAGATGGTGCCCTGGCTAGTGTGGTCCCGTGCACCAAAAAGTTGCTGGTTTGATTCCCGGTCAGGGCACATGACTGGGTTTTGGGCTGGATCCCCAGTAGGGAGCATGCAGGAGGCAGCCGATGCTTCTCTCCTCTCTCTCTCTCTCTCTCTCTCTCTCCCTCTCTCTCTCTCTCTCCTGCTTCCTTCCTCTCTCTCTAAAATCAATTTTTAAATATTTTAAAAAATAGTAAAGATGGCTGGGTTGGCGTGGCTCAGCTATTGAGCATCAACCCATGAACCAGGAGGTCGTGGTTCGATTCCCAATCAGGGCACATGCCTGGGGTTCAGGCTCAATCCCCAATAGGGAGTCTGCAGGAGGCAGCCAATCTGTGATTCTCATCATTGATGTTTCTATCTCTCTCTTCCTCTCCCTTCCTCTCTGAAATCAATAAAAATATATTTAAAAAATAGTAAAGATGATAAACTTTGTTATATATTTGTTACCATAGTTAAAATTGTTAAAATAAATAAAAAGGAAGGAAGGAGGGAAGGAAGGAAGGAAGGAAGGAAGGAAGGAAGGAAGGAAGGAAGGAAGGAAGGAAAGAAGGAAAAAGCAGTTTGGAAGACAAACTTAAAACCCTGGGAAGAGGAAGGTAAAATTGAGGTGTTGTGTGGGGTGGGTTGGGGCAGGGGTGAGAGGATGGGGTGAGCAGGGGCCTCAGCCACCAGTCCTGCTGTGTGTGAGGTGGGGCTGTGTGAGGGGAAGGCCGGGTGACTCAGGGCCCCAGCTGCCCCCACCATCCCAAATGGGCATGGCATTCTGGGCAGGTCCAAACGGAAGCCCACTCAGGGCCTGAGGAAGCCCTGATAGCCATCCCAGCTCTGCGGTTCTCACCAGGGAACAGAGCAAACAAGGCACCAGGGGCAGGCTGTTCACCCACATGCTGCCTTGTGGAGTGAGTGCCCATCTGTGCCAGATTCTGGGCACAAGGCTGAGCAAACCGTAGGCCCCACCCTCGTAGGCATCCAGCTTGGTTGAGAGGCACAACTGCACACCTGAAAACCTTTGCCTCTTGGGCCACCAGGAGCTCACACTTCCTGATCACCTACTATGCACAGGTGCAGGAGCTTTACACAATTCACTTGTGTAAGTCTCAACGCCACCCTAACAGGTGGGGACTAACAATAAATCCATTTAACAGACAAGGAAACAGAAACACAGCGAGGTGAGGCCAAACTGGCCCCTAACCATCCAACTACACTGCCAAGTTAATATATAAATAAAAACAACCAAATTGCCCAAATCTCCAAAAATAAACCTCCACTGCCCCACTGAGGTGTGCCTTGCCAAGGAAAGGTGAGCCCTGAGTAAGAAACAGCTTTTGAACATTTCCCCAGACACTGACTTAAGACCAGATGCTTGCGAAGTTGTTTTTTTAAACAAAACAATATTTTATTGGCATATTCTCAAGGTTCTGTATAAATATAAAGTGCTAAGTTTCCAACCCCCGCCCACGGGGCGGGAGGAAGTAGGGGAGGGAGTGTTAAATATCAGTTGAACACAAATAACTTTCCAGCGCCAACAGGGCGTGAAATGCTCAAATACACACACGCAAGCAAGAGGTCCACACAAGGGGCACGTCTGTTCTCCAAGCCCAGCTCCTTAGGAGCAGGGGGCTCAGGCTCCAGGCCCTGGGGTGCGCCACCCTAGATGGGGCTCCTGGTTGTCACAGCTTGTCCCTTGGGCTCTCAGGCTGCCAAGGGCTTCAACACAGTGGTGGGGCCACTGGGTCCATGGGTGTAAAGTCCAGTTAGTTTCTGCCAGAGGATGGGGGAGGAGGGAAGTAGACAAACCCTCACTCTTGTCCCCAGATGAGGGCCAGCCCTCAGACCCCTAGCAGAAGAGCACCAGGTGAGAGTCCAGCATTCCTGTACTTCCAGCGCCCCTACCTGGGAGCTTTCCAAACTCCGAGGAAGGGGCAGTTCTCCCTGAGGTGAGGGGGGTGCGGGGCCCCCAAGGACAGCCTAGCTGTCCCAGGTCAGCTCCCCTGGAACCACAGCTGTGTGCACCTCAGTGACATAGCACCTGAGTCTCAAACTGTAGCAGCTGCCCCATGAAACTGAAATTGGGGGAGATGACCCCCCGGCGTTGCTTAACGAAGTCAAAGGCCTCATCCAGCCGCACGCGGTGGCTCTGTATCAGGTATGCCAGGCAGATGGTGGCAGAGCGGGAGATGCCCGCCTGGCAGTGCACCAGCACCCGGCCCCCACTGTTCTTCACAGAATCTGCAAGGGAAAAGGGCGGGGGTCAGATGGGAAGTTGAGCAGGGAGGAAACCATGCCCCAAGTCCGTCCCCTGAACCGCCCCCCATCCCGGGGCCAAGTACCCCTCGTACCGATGAAGCCTATGGCCTCCTGAAACCAGGCACTGATCTCCACCATCTGGTTGTCCTCCACCGGGATGCTCTTGTAGCGCAGAAGGCCCTCGAAGTGGTTGGGGCAGCTGGCGGAGACGTTGAGGACAGCGGTGATGCCACAGGCCTGCAGGCCCTGCAGATCCGATGAGTGGCTGCAGCTGCCCAGGAAGAGGTAGGGCAAGATCTCCACAGGGCCACCCTGGAGGAAGAGGGGAGGGGAGGGGTGAGGCCTTCTCCACACAGGCCTGGAGGAGCCCTGGGGCAGTCCTGACCAAGACCAGGCTTCTGGGGGTCTGAGGACACCAAGGGGCACACAGCACTCACGGATAAACACATCTCCCTTGAGCCTCAAAGGTGGCTGCAAACATCCACAGACCACAGACCCACACCAGCACAGTGACACAGGAGGACAATGACAAGGAGCTTTGATTTCAACTCACCTGGTCATAGAAGGGAACCCTGGGGTCTGAGCGGCTGCTTTCTGCCCCAACAGGAGGCATCGCTGGGGCAGGGGACTCGGAGCACAGGTCGGGACAGCAGGCCTGGAAGGCATCGAAGCCTCCTACAGGGGAGAACAGGGGCTCAGTCAGCGGGAGGCCCGGGAGGGAGGGGCGCGGGAGGGCTGGACAGGGAAAGTGGGGCCAGCCGCTCACCTCGAAGGAAGCACACAGTGGTGGGCCCGGCGTGGGTCTCGTGCAGCAGCGCAGCCAGCAGCACCCGGGCAGGGCAATCGTGTGGCAATGTGGCAAGCGAGGCACTGGCCTGGTCCAGCACCACGGCCCGCGCCAGCTCCCCGCGGGCCAGGCGCGCCCGCAGCGCGCGATCCGGCAGCAGACAGGCGAGGGCAGCGGCCGGGGGGCCGCGAGCGCGGCGCCGCAGCATGGTGTTCCAGGGCACCGGCCGCGCGGTGCGCACGTGGCGCCGGCAGAAGGCCAGGAAGGGGCGGCAGTCGAGCAGCAGCGTGCGCTCGGCCTCCCGCGGCTCCCGCAGCAGCGCCCCCAGCGCCGCGCACTCCAGCTCGCGCGCCTCTTCCAGCCCCATGGCGCCGGCCTCTTCCTGCGCTCCTTCTCTGCGTCCCCACTCCTCCTGCTACCCCTGCTCTGCGCGAGGCCCCGCCGTCCCAGTCCCGTTGGCTCTGGCGGCGCCCTCGGCAGCCCGGCCTTAAGTAGCCTGGCCCGGCCCCCGGGTTACCATATAAGGGCAGAGCAGGAAGGCGCCGGGGACGCCCCCGCGGCCTCACGCGGGCTCAGCCCAGACTGGGGGCGGGGTGCGTTGGAGTAAAACCCGGACCACCTCTGGAGGGAAGTGTGTGCCAGGAGCAGTGGGGCCCAAACATCCCCCGTTTGCGCCGCAGCCTGGAACCGCGCGCCCACCTTTTGATCTGCCCTGCGCTGCCAGTCCTCGGGCAGTGGCTCTGTATGCAAATCCCCCTCCCAGGGACTGCGAGCCCTGGTGCCCCTGCCCTGCTTCCTCTCCCTTTTCTCTGTTCCTCCCAGGATGTTCCCCTGAGGAATGTATTTCAGCAAAGGCTGAGGTGTGCCTGCTGTCACCCTGATCTCTGCACTGGAGGGTCACTGTCCCTTCTACTAGACCTTGGGCAGAAGGGGCTTGCTTCCCCCCCCCCACCCCCCCTTGCATGGCTGAGACCAGCACTCAGGGTTGCACAGCAGGTTAGTGGCCAAGCTGGGCCAGAACATGGTCCTCTGAGGCCAACACCCTGGGCATCTGGGTGAGGAGGACCCCAGCCTGGGAGGGGTGCGAGAGGCAGGGGGCCCATGATGAGTTTCCAGTATGAGCAGGCAAGGCTTCCTCCCTAGGAGCCCAGGGAAACCCCAGGGACCCGAGACAAAGCACTTCCCCAAGTCATAGGCCAGCTCTGAAGGGGAATTCTTCTGCTGACAGTGCTGGGCTCTCCCGGGTACCTCGCGGGAATTTCAGGAGCGGCCCCAGGGGAAGGGGGAGAAGAGCTACCAGAACCTGCTCCTCCATTGTTCCCCTCCCCCTGATCAGCCTCCTTCCTCCTGCAGCAGACCCCTGAATGGCAGGGACCCTGGTGCCCCAGCAAGGCCATGAGCAGAAAGAAGCGGAAGCTCTCAACCATCACAACCCTTCTGCCCACTCCCACCCCCCACCCCAGCCCAAAGCCCTGGGGCAGGATGTGGTGAGCCCCAGGTGTGTGTGGGAGATCTGAACTCCAAAGCAGAAAAGTTCAAGTGGGTGGGGACAGTGCCCTGGAGCTGGAGCTGCCCCCACAGCCACCCAATCCTAACCTCCTCAGCCCCCCTTCCCCGAGTCACCGCTTTGTGCCTTCGTAGGACCCCTCCAGCTCCCATGTAGGCCCCCCGTACAGACCTTCTTGGAGGACTACAGCTAGGACCCATGTGTACCCCCCAGCCCTATACTGGGCTTGCCGTGTCTGTGTGTTAGAGCAGATCTGTATGCAATTCCACAATGTCTGAGACAGCTTGCTGCTCTGTGTGCTGAGGGGGAGAGGGGCCACAGGTGAGAGAAGCTTTAAGGGTGCCCAAGATGCCTGAGGTCACACCACCCTCTTGTGCCTCAGTGTCCCCATCAGAAAGATGGGGGCTCAGAATAGACCAGCTACTAGCCTCACTGGTTCCACGGCCCTGAGGCCACGGCACTGCCCGAGCACCTGCAGTGAGCTGTCCCTCTCTACCAGGCCCGTCTGGAGGCTGATTCAGCAAAGCCACAGCAGAGCCCGGGAGTCTGGGCCACAGATCCCAGAGTCCGATATGGGCCTTATCCTTGGCATCAGCCTGCAGATGACTTAATGGCTGATTCCAGGGGCAAATTACAGAGCACATGAAAGGACAGTCAGGCCCAGGCTTGCTGACCACGGGGCTGGTGTCACCTGCTGTGCTGGGAGCCCTGGCCTTTCAGCTCCTTGGGGAGGGGGAGGGAGGACTGGCCGGCTGGGATCCTGGCTCGGGAGGAAATCAGCTGGGCAGGGTGGGGCCTCCTGGGGAGAACGGTGACCTTTCTGGAAGTTCCCTGTGAGAGTGGGAGTGCACTGCTGAGGTTTGCTCCTGTGTCACTGGCCCTAGGGCCCTGCCCACCACTCTGGCCAGAAGCAGTGATTTCTGCCTGCCGTGGCTACCTGTGTGCAATGCCACTTGCTTTGGAGCTTTTCAGCTCTGGAACACAGGCTCAAGGAGGCCTGACTTCACCATGAAGGAAGGGCTCCCCTGCCCCTCCCCCACTCCCCAACTGGGGGAACCCCCACCCCCATACCTGGGTGAAAGCCTGACGCCCGGGAAGAAGAGAGGGGAAGAGAATGTAGCCCGCATCCCACCCTACTTCTGCTCTGACTAAGCATCCCCCGACCCTTGGTGAGTCATGCCACCTCCTCAAGGACCACCAATTGCCCTGGCGGAGAGAAGGCAGGGCTCTGGGCACCTGGGGGAGGACAGTGGGAGAAGGGGTCTCGCTAGACCTGAGGTCCACAGGCTACAGGTCCCGGAAGGAGGCCCCTGCTCCCTTCACTAGGTGCTGAGGGGGTGGCAATAGGTCTGTGCCAGACTCAAAAGGTTGTTTGGATTTTTGTTGGTCCTGGCCTAGCTCTTACAGAGCAGACACTATCAAGTAGATTTGGGGTTCGGCCTTTTTTAAAACTTAAAATACCCAACGAGAACACATGGTTATTGCGTGTTTTTCTTTGTAACCGGCTGGCTCAGCATCACTGCCCCCTCCCCTTCCCACCTTTGGGATCCCTGGCCTTTCCCTGCCCCACAGCACACCCCCCGCCTCCCTGCAGAGTGGTTTTCCCATCCAGTCACAAAGCACAAAGCTCTGTGCTGAGATTGCCTCCCGCTGCATGTCCCTGCCTCCTCCTTCCAAACCCACACCCCAGGCAGATGTCCCATGGGGGGAGAAAGAAATGAATGGTGTGGCTACAATCACAGGCCAGGGCAGGTATGAAGGTAAGAGTGACGAGTGAGGCCACCCCCAGTCCAGCTCGAGGAGTGAGTCAGGATGAGGTCAGGTTTCCTGTGCCAGGCTTCTACCAGAGCAGTGCAGTGGCCACCCCCACAGGCTCAGCCACCCCCATAGGTCTGGCCACCCCCACAGGCTCCAGCCCGGCGAGGACAGTGACTTCATGCTCTGTGAAGATGGCCCTGTCCACGGTGGGAGGACAGACGGGGAGGAGAGCTATGACTACAGCACCCTCCTTGGCCAGGCTGGCTCAGAGTGGCCTGCACATGGCTGAGGGCACTGGAGTCAGCACCCGGGTGTCACGTCATGTGTGTGCAGGCAGGAACACACTTAGACAGCCCTGCTGGACACGGTGAATACAAGAAGAAAGTCTCCATGTGAGACAGGCATGGCTTTGACGCCTCTCGAATATTTGCTTTTCCTCATTTTTTAAAAAAATATATTTTATTGATTTTTTACAGAGAGGAAAGGAGAGGGATAGAGAGTTAGAAACATCGATGAGAGAGTAACATCGATCAGCTGCCTCCTGCACACTCCCTACTGGGGATGTGCCCGAACCCAAGGTACATGCCCTTGACCGGAATCGAACCCGGGACCCTTGAGTCCACAGCCGGCGCTCTACCCACTGAGCCAAACCAGTTAGGGCTGCTTTTCCTCATTTTAACAAACAGGCTTTGTGCCTGCCCTGAGCATCCATTCCCGATCAAGCATTCCTTTCTGCGTTTAGTCATTTCTTCATTTACTCAGCCCCTCATTCAAAAGATACACTTTGAGCTCCTATGACATGCCAGGCACTGTTGTGGGAGCTGGGGATACAGCAGCAAATCACAAAGCACTGCCCTCGGGGAGCTGTCCTCGTGGTCTCAATAATATTTATTTTTATGATTATGTCGTGTTCATGACAAGTGAGACTAGTTATCCATCGAGAGTTATGATGTAGGTTCCTTTTAAAATAAGTGTTAGGTTTGTAACAACTAAGTTGAATGGTCCAGATGGTACCCAAAGGTGTTACCAAGTGTGACAAGATAGAGACACGAGTCAGGACACGTCGCCAAAAAGAGGGTCCCTGCAGCCCCTTCCAGCCTCGGCACGGTGCCATGCCGTGGGGTCTGGCTCCCGCTCCTGCTGTGGCCTCCCATCAGGAGTGGAGGGGAGAGGAGGCTGCGGCCCCGAGAGGGGGGGTCTGGGAAAGCCAGTCTTGTTGTCTGTGTCCCTTCCTGCTCTGCGCGTGTCCATCAAAGGGACCTGGGCTTGGCCACAGCCCTGGATTTGCCGGGGCTTGGGGCGGGAGGAGCCCCTCCCTGGTCTCTTTCCTTGGCGTTCTCCCATCCCCAGCGCATCCGTGGCCCCCAGCCCACGGCAGCAGTGAACCAGTCCATTCCTGCCCTGCCAGCCGGCTGTCCCTGGCTTAGGTCCCGGTGGCTGAGGAAGAGGTCGTTGCTAAGGAAGAACTCTGTTGCCAGTGTAATGGTTGGGCAAGAGGTGAGGGACTCTCAGAAATGTGGCCGCTGTGGTCAGAGGGTGTGTGGCTCTGTGTCAAAAGAACTCCCAGGGCTTCCCCGGAGCCCATGCCAGATGCTGTGCGAAGGCGGCCAGGGGACTTGGAGGCCCGAGGAGCCAGACTGCTCTTCCCCGTCATCACCCCTGCACTAGGCCACCCAGACTAGGCCGGCCACCCCCATAAAGCCCAGTACCACCAGCAGCCATGGGGCACAGCAGCGATGGTGCACGTCAGGGAGCCGTGGGGGTTCGGGAGCCATATCACCTTGGCTCAAACACAGCAGGGCTGCTTCCTCACATTGTGGCCTTGGACAAGTGATTTCACCCCTCTGTGCCCTCTTTAAACAATAGCGATGGCTAGTACTGAGCTAGGGGCCTTCTGGGCACTACTGCATCTGAGGGGCAGCCTCAGTACCCCCCTGTGCAGATAGGGAACCCTAGGCTCCAAGGGGCTGAGCCAAGGCCACACACCAGTAACTGGGAGAACTGAGACTGGAGCCTGAGTGTTAAGCACTAGGCTGCCCCGCCTCTGGGGAGGGTCTGCAGGCCCCCCTGTGTCCTGCACCCACCCCTTTTCCAGCACACCTGCCCTGCCAGGCCCAGCTCTTCACGAAGACACTCACCTGCTTGTCATGTGCCCCACCCTCTTCTAAAACCCCAAAGAGCCCTAAGTGTGGAAGGGCTGGTGCCCCAAATACAAATGGGGGACCAAGGCACAAAGAGGTCAACTAATTGACCCAAATTGTCACAACTGGAAGATGATGGAGCCAGATTTGAACTCACAATTTGGAGGC